CTATCAGTCAGTTCCACCTCTGCTAGGATACCTGCCGCCTTCCTAACCCTGTTCTCTTTTTGTTTCCCAGACGCAACCTGCTAAATCCCCGTTCACCCCCCCACTGACCCACGGCTACTTCGTTAGCAACTCCTTGTCACGGTTGACTAAATAATAAACACAGCAAAACGTTTGAGCCGTCTCTGTTTGTGGTTATCTGCAATCGAGTCCAGTTTAGCTATCGGCCCGTGGCCACTGTGACAGTCGTGGCTTTGGAAGGTTGACCACAGGTACTTGAACACAGCCTGCTCCTCACTATTACGCCTTTCTTATTTTCACACATGTATTTTATCTTGTTTTCACTTTCATTCCTCTTCTCTCCAGAGTATGCCTCCACATGCATGTGGCATGTGGATCTTGGTCATTTTTTTGGCATGTTTTTATGGCCCTCGCAGTGCTTTTGTTCTTACATTTTGCAACACACCGCTGCTGCCCAGCAGAGGAGACATCAGGCCAGAGCAAGAGTTAAAACAAGGAGAAGGAAATATAAATCCCCTGTTCCATCAGTCATCGTGGGGAATGTGAGGTCTCTGACTGATAAGATGGAGCTGATAAAACATCAGAGGCAGCTTGTTATGCATGGAGGCATGGCTGCACTCAGTGCCACCGGCTTCGTCGTCTGGCTTTTTCACTGCTCGGGCCAACAGAGAGGCCACGCTGAGCAGTGCTGGATGGAGGATCAATGGAGGATTCCCTATGACACTGCACATTGGCTACAACTTGGGAATCACAAGTCATTAGCTAATAATTGTGCACTTTCACAAACAGAGCCACCCTTTTTTTGTCACATGTTTTTTGCAACCAAGATGGCAACGGCAGAAACGTTCATCTTAAGGCTCTTCAAAACTTCCAAAACTAATGTCTGGCATCATGGTCCAACCTTTGAGATGAGGAATTACCCATTTAGACCACAAACACATACACACCTTCTTGTCCAGCTGAAGTGATGTCCACTCTGAACATAAGCTGCCCGCTCACATGGTCCATAGGAAGACGACGACACAGGCTGTAGCTGACTGTCTGATCACTGCACACACATAAACAACCGTTTTGTCCCTACTGACAAACACCTACTAGCATTTCAATACGGTACAGAAAACAAGCTCACTGATCTCACTTCAATCAACAATCAAGTGACTGGATGGGTAATTGTGCATCGACTACATTCTGCTGATTTATATGCAGTTTTCCACAACGGGCAATTTATTGGTAATTTCTGTGCAACTTGCCAAGAGACTGACAATTTTTGTTAACACTGCACAAACTGTATGTCATCATTACTTATCTCATGTTTGGCTCTGCGTGCCGACTTACTCAGCAGCCGGCCGTTCCAGAAGTCTCCGGATGGGGATGATCAGCTGGCCCAGGAAGCGCTTGATGATTGGCCGGCTCTTGGCAAACTTGTCCTTCACCTCAATCTCCAGCACATCAGTTATCAAAGCCACAAATGTATATTTCTAAAGAAAGAGTAAAAAGCAAAATGCTGGAAAGTTTAGTATATTTATACAGTTGTGTTTGCATTACATAAAGTTAATTATTGACTCTGCCCAGTGACTCTACCTGGCCTACCACTTCTCAGTTGCTGTCGTTCCTAATCATTTCTACTAACAGTTGACTGCAGAATATTTAGTCGCAAGTAAATTTCTCAACTGAAATATTGCACAGGTGCCGTTTTATCACAATAACACACTGGAGTTTACTGGAATGACAGTGTTACACAGCTGGCATGGTGGATTCAAACAGAACAATCTCAAAGTAAAAAAGCTGCTTCAAAATGAAAACAGAGAAGAGAGAAATGAAGAGGACAAAGCGAGGATTAACCTGGGACAAGGATTTACACAGTTTTAGGATTTAAGGGGCTTAAAAACAGAAATCCAGGAGTTATCATTTAACTGATGGCTAAGTAACAAACTATGCCATCTATCTATCTATGTTTTAATCAAACGTAGATAGATAGGCAGGCTGTATTTGCTTATACAAATACAGCCTCTGTATTTACACTCTGCCCAACAAAGACATACGTGAAGAACATGAAAGGATTCTGCAGTGAGATAAAGAGCTGAACCTTGTGTGTCTGTGGACAGCCTGACCCCCTGTTGAAGGTAATGTGCTAAACATGGCTAATGCTATTATTACTGCCTTAAAGCTCATGATTAAAATGCTGATTGTAAATACATCAGTCCATATGTTGCCACATAACTATAGTTGTCTCTTCTATCTTTCCTTTTATTACTCTGCCAAGGCAAAGAGTAGAGTCAACACTATTGATGTAAGTTCATTTATTTTAACTACACGAGTGTACAAATTCATCCTCAGCTGGA